GAGTGTTGGGTTTAGGGCTTAGATTACAGTTTGGAGGTTCAGGGCTTCGGGTTAAACCCTAAACCCTAAACCCTAAACCCTAAACTAAGCTTTAGGCTTAAGGGAGGTTTAGGGCTTCTCAGAGAGCCCCAGAGTGTTGAAGCAGTCCAGGCGACAAACAGGAACATTCGTAAATTCCGTCATGGTCTCAAAGAGGTACCTACCTAGACCCCCAAAAGGATCTAAAACATAGATCCCCTAATTAGGGACCCTAACTACTAAAGGGTACTTTATAGGAACCCCCTTAGGGGATCTATTTTTTAGATCCTTTTGGGGGTCTGGGTATTCAGTCACATCATATGACGGATCCCTCGATGATTTGGGAAAGCTGTTCATCTCTGGGTATAAGCCTTCCTTCCGTCGAGGTTCAGGCCTGAAGCTCTGGACCCCTAGCGGCTAGGGTTTGGGGCTGCGAGTTCAGGGTTTAGGGTGTACCTTAACCTACCAAAACCCACTTTTTTGTAGGTTCTTATTATAAACTCTAATATGGCCATTATAGGGACCCTACAAAAAAGTAGGTTCTAGTGGGTTAAGGTAGGGTTTGGGTTTAGGGTTTCCTAGGCAAACGAGCCAGGGGCTTGCGGGGTGGGTTTTGGAGCCCGTAGACGCCGTGGTGAATGCCAGTGTCTCCGTTCGGCGCTTGGGTGCTGTGTTGTTGAGGGTTTAGGGTTTTTAAATTTTGCTTCAATTCTTGGTGTGACTGCTTTTTGCAGGAATCTTCAGAAACTACTGTTTGCTTTCATTGTGTAGGGGTAGACTTTCATCAATGACCATGGAACATGAATATACCACTACCACCCAAACGCTGAGGGCATCGCACGTGAAACTAAAAAACAACACCCTGAGTTGCGAGGGGGTTTAGGGTTTAGGGTTAGGAGCAGTGCAGTACCAAGTGTAAACTCAAAGACTCTGCGGGAGCTCAAGACACAATGTGTCTCAAATCAAACAAAGGACCCTTCAAGAATTGCGATATATTTCTTGCATGTAAGCAGCATTGCGCTTTCGGGTAAGACGGGAAAAGACAAACGGCCGCAGGGTGCGCCCCTACTGCGGCTGTGGGATCCACATCTTGGATCAAGTCCAGCTGCAGCTCGAGGGCAACCCTAAACCCCTAAACCCCTAAACCCTAAACCCTAAAACTCCTTTAAATGCTAAACCCTAAACCTTTAAACCCTAAACCCTAAACCCTCAACCTTAAAAGCCTGAACCCTAAAGCCCAATCCCTGACAAGAAGGCTACCTGGATCGCCCGGGGACCCGGTAAGTAGTTATAAGTATCAGAACCCCAATGAGTTTAGGGTTTGGGGTTTAGGGTAGGACTCCTTTTAGGGCCTAAAAGGATTCCTACCCTAAACCCTAAACCCTTTAGAGTACTTTTATCCACCTGTTTTGTACTTACGAAGACCCTCCAAGCAGGTTTCAGGATCTACTTTACTGCTCCGGGGATGTAATGCTGACGTAGGTCACAAACAGAATTGTATCGGTATTTGATAGGTTACACAGCCTTACCAAATCCAAGTACCCTTTGCTGTGCTAATCATTTGGATTTCGAAACCCTCAGCCCTGAAATCGAAAGTAGCAGATTCAATTCGCTAAGTTTTACACCCTGGCGCATCCCAATGAGTTTTGATCATTACGTAACTGCGGCTCCGGATTTAGTTGCGTTAACCATAGTCAGGCCTTAAGAAGTTCCGAGCCACCCAGACGAAGTTTCAAACAAAGCCCAGAGCTGTGCTGGGCACGTTTGCAAAGATGTGACGGAAGGGCACAGCAGGTGGTCCGAAGCGGAAATCCTACATCATACGCCATGTTGAAACTGAGCTCTACATGCTTAACATATGGCCTTGAATCCTAAACCGTTGTGCGGAAGTTACCCGAAGTGCAGTTAACATCCCCACAGCCAAGAATCTGTCAATGAGAGATGTACGACAGCCAGCCAACAGCTTTCGCTTTCGCATATTCCAAACGTGCAGTTTGTGCCTGTTGACGGGCATGTCGAAAGGGTTTCGGTGTTCAGCCGTGCTTATGTGAGGGGCACCACGCAGAATGCAGGTGATGGTTAGTCATAGAGTCATAGAGGGCTGATTAAAGTCTGCAAAAGTGAAATTGTTGAGGCTGCACATGTGAGCCTAAAAACCTCCCTAACCCTACACCCTAAACCCCCAAACCCTAAACCCTAAACCCTAAACCCCCAAACCCTAAACCCTAAACCCTGAACCCCTAAACCTTAAACCCTAAACCGTTCATTGGGATTTCATGAGGTAGAGGGGCCTGGCAACTGAGTGCCTGCTCACACGGGGGAAAAAGCTGACAGAGCCGCAGTCAAACGTGATCCCAGGATCTTAGGGGTACTTAGAAATATTTTTAAATCTTTGGCTACTATAAATCCTAAGAAGCAGCTAAAATTATCACGTTTGCTAGGGGTCTAAGTTCAGTATAGGCGGATACTGTAGGGGCCTCAATAATTAGAATAGGGTTTTGGGGCATACTATACTATATCTACTAATCAGGAACCCCCCCAAAATAGTATGCATAATATAGAAGCTTAAATTACCTATATTCTTTTGGGGTGTATTTATAGTATAAAGACCTATATTACTATGGGAATTCCTTATTGTATGTATAGTATCAAAAACCTATATTATTTTGGGAGTTCCTTACTGTATGTATAGTATAAAAAACCTATCTTATTTTGGGAGTTCCTTATTGTATTTATAGCACAACCCTAAACCCTAAACCCTAAACCCTTATTATTATTAAGGCGCCGACATGACTCAGGGTCACGCACGGCTCTTTCAGGGCTTACTGCCGAGGTCTACTTCCAGCTTCTGGTTTCAGGATGGGCGGACTTCGAAGATGGGTTTAGGGTTTAGGGTTTAAGGTTTAGGGTCTAGGGTTTGGGGTTTCAGGTTTAGGGTCTAGGGTTTAGGGTTTAAGGTTTAAGGTTTAGGGTTTAAGTTTAAGGTTTATGGTTTAGGGTTTAGGGTTGATATATGCTCGATGATGACCCCTAATTCATTCTACACCTGAAGTATCACCCGCAGGCTGTGTAATGTAGGGGCTTTAATAACTAAAATAGGGTTTTGGGGCCCATTACGCTACAACCACAATAAGGAGCCCCCCGCCCCCAGAATAGTATTGGTAATTATTTGGGCCCCTATATTAACCTAAAATACCCTGCGTCCTGTTCCCCAATCCCAAGATCGTCTTGCCAAATCCCTCACCCATTAAACCTTGAAGCAAAACAATCTCACCGGATCGGCAGAAGTCCCAGAAAGCCAGAAATGCCGCGGACGGGGTGGCTGCTACAAGCTCTAGCTTGAAGGTTTGTGGGCCGCGGTTTGGCGTGCAACGAATTGGATAAAGCCCTGAACCCGCAGCCTTTTGACTTTCACTTTAAACCCGTATGCTCCCTAACCCTACACCCCTGTACCTTTCACCCCCAGCCGAAAGCCGTAAACGATCCCGCTTGGAGGATCAGGGGACTTAGTCAGTAGAGTTATAAGTACGGTAACTATAGATATATCTACTTATAACCTCAATCAAGGTAACGGTTAAGGTTTAGGGTTTAGGGTTTAGGGAGTTTTACTAACTAACTTCCATGATCTTCCAAGTCTAAGTCGAATGAAGGATTTCCTGAAGGGTTTGGGCCTTAGCCTAAACCCTAATTAAACCCTAAACCCTTAAAGCCCTAACCCGAAACCCTAAAGCCCTAAAGCCCTAAAGCCCTAAAACCCTAAACCCCTAAACCCAAAACCCCTTAACCCCTAAACCCCGAAGCCCTAAACCCCTAAACCCCTAAGCCCTAAACCAGGAGGCGGGCTCTGAGTCTGCAGAATGAAGAGTAGCCCTAAAACCCTAAACGCCAAACCCTAAACTTTCTTCTTGTCCAGCGATGAACCCTAAACCCTAAACCCTAAACCCTAAACCCTAAACCGCTGTGGGATTCAGAGTTCCATGAGAAAGTCTAGGACATTTTCAAGTGGGTAGTTACCGTTAGAGGAGCCTTATAGAAGGTCTGAGTGCCTTATGGAAGCCTTATAGAAGCCCTATATACCCTAAACTCCCCACCTGTAGTTCCTTTAATTCAAAGAAAGGGATTTTGTGGCTTGAGGGTTTTAGGGGTTTAGGGTTTCAGGATTTAGGGTTTAGGGTTTGAGTGGTTTAGGGTTTGGGTTTTAGGGTTTTAGGGTTTTAGGGTTTAGGGCTTGAGGGGGTTTGGGTTTTAAGGGTTTCAGGGTTTGGTGTTTTAGGGTTTAGGGGTGTTGGGGGTCTAGGGTATAAGGTTTAAAATGGAAGGGTGCTCCTGCATTATCGAATATCGCAGCGTCTTACATCGCGGAAGCCCCCCGATGCGTCCGTTGCATTTTGGGCCCAAGCCAACCTGGACACCCTAAACTCTACACTTAAGAACCCAAAAAGCACATAAGCATAAGCATTTTTTAGGGATATCCCTACCTTATTGGGCTTCATTATAAGGGGGGTTTCTCTGGGATATCCCTAAACCCTAAACCCTAAACTAAACCATAAACCCTAAACCCTAAACCCTAAACCCTACGCCCTAAACCCTGAACCCTGAACCCTGAGCCTCAGAACCCTAAGCCCCAAACCCTAAGGGTTTAGGGTTTAGGGTTTAGGGTTTAGGCCTAAGCCCCAAACCCTGAACCCCAAACCCTAAACCCTAAGCCTCAGAACCCTAAGCCCCAAACCTCAGGGTTTAGGGTTTAGGGTTTAGGGTTTAGGGTTTAGGCCTAAGCCCCAAAAACCCTAAACTCCAGACCCGGAACCCCAAAAGCCTAAACCCTTTAAAACCACCCCTCCTCAAAACAAAAAAAAAACATAAATCCAAAACCCCTACACCCCAAACTAGCTGAATCCCTGACGCGCCCCCTAAACCCTAAACCCTAAACCCTAAACCCTAAACCCTACAGAACTGAGAGCTGAAAGCTGGAGCCATGGGCCATGGAACAGGACCGGAGCCTTCAGAATCTTAGGGTTCAGGGCTTAGGATCCTCGGGCTTAAGGCTTAGAGTTTTAGGGTTTAGGGCTTAGGAACTTCGAGTTTAGGGTTTAGGGCTTAGGGTTTTAGGGTTTAGGGCTTAGGGCTTAGGGTTTTAGGGCGTAGGGTTTTAGGGCTTAGGGTTTACCTGGACCCCAAAGAACCTACTTTGTTAGGGTTGCTTGTTATGATTTCTTTATACTAGTCCTTAAACAGGTAAGTTATCTGGGGTCAAGGTCGGGCTGAGGGTTTAGGGCTTAGGGTTTTAGGGTTTAGGGTTTAGGGCTTAGGGCTTAGGGTTTTAGGGTTTAGGGTTCAGGGCTTAGGGTTTTAGGGTTTCGGGTTTTAGGGCTTAGGATCTTAGGGTTTAGGGCTTAGGGCTTAGGGCTTCAGGGTTTAGGGTGTAGGGTCTAGGGTTTTAGGGTTTGGGGTTTAGCGTGCTGAAGAGTCCACAGCTGCTGGCGAGAAGGAACAAGACTCAACATTTGCGACCGCCGACGAAAAGCCCGGCGCTTGCCATGCCGGTCGATCCAGTACAGAAAGCCCATATGCGCTAGCCTGGTGACATCGTTTTGGACGCTGCGGGCTCAGCCCCCAAGACATATTGTGCAGCAGCTCGTGGAGTCTTATCACGAAAACTATTGTAGCTGGGCTTGTGTTTAATATTGCTTTAGCATGGGGTTTTAGACATTGATATATCCGTATTGCAGATCTATATTGACATTGTGTTATTTTTCAGCATTTGCAGGGTCGCGGGTCGGCAATTTGAGCATTCGTGGATTTGCGCATACGCAGATTTGCGAAGCCCGTGGAATTTCGAAGCTGCAGAAGGGCGGGTTCCCCGGCACGTGGATTTGCAGATTTGCGGGTTTGAAAAGTTTTCTCAGGTTTCCCGGGTTTTCGGATGTGCGGATGTGCGGATTTCCGGACATGTGGATTATCAGATTTGCGGCGGTTTCCCGCGTTTCGCGGCTTTTCCGGATGGGCGGATGTGCGGATTCCCCGATTCGAAGAAATTTGCAGATGTGTGGGCTTGCGGTTTTTGGTTTCGGGTTTCGCGGGTTTTCGGATGTCCGACAGTTTTAAGCTCACACCCCCCCCCCTCCCCCGGCCCACACCAATCTGTGAAGAATAGGCGCAGGAAGGAAAGACAGGACAAGCGGCAAGACAAAGGTACAGAAGTTTCTTTTTGTTTATGTATGCGTTCCTTTTTGTTTCGATCTCTATTGTTTATTGCTCTTTTTTCTCTTCATCAGGATTAGGAGATGGGCCCCCCATCAAAGTGACTGGTTTAGTCAGTTCCATGGGTCGGGAGGCCGACCCATGTATTTTGGACAGTTTACCGAACATTTGTAAGCATGGCATTTCTAGAAGCTGCTCTATGTGTGTGCATGTGCAAATGAAAAAATCAGTTGCGTGCCAGTGTTGTATGGGCCAGAATCAGTCCTGGAAGCTTTCGTTGGGCTCAGCTCTGCCACAACTGCCCTCAAGTTGCCATCTTCTGAGGGCCTATAGAACGTGTTCTCGGCTCCCATTCGTCTCTGGCGACTGTCAGCGACCCAGGGGTTCACATGGACAGTGCTGTGTTCATCATGTCGGGACACCTTCCGCGAAAGGCAAAAATTCCTTCGTCGCCCTTTGTTCCTCTGATCTTACTGGATTATCTCCTGAGTTGCGGGTTCATTGAGCTGAAAGGCTCAGCACTCGCAGGGACCGATGCAAGATTCCAGATGTCAGCCTCTGCTGAAACCTTCGTGCCGGGCCTGATCACGAAGCAACAACACTTGAGCCATTCCTTCACTTCATGAAGGGTTGACTTCTGTGCCCAGTCCCATGCACCAGCGCATGCAGCAAGAGCGGGGCGATCAGGCCGAGCTTGCCCACGAATTTTCCGAAGATCCGGAGCTTAAACCTCGAAAAATTCGTGGGCAAGCTCGGCCTGAGCTTGCCTACGAATTTTCCGAAGCTTTTACACTCTCAGACGATGTAGGGTTTACATTCTCACAAGGTTTAGGGTTTACACTCTCACAGGGCTTAGGGTTTACATTCTCACAGGGCTTAGGGTTTATACTCTCCTATGGTTTAGGGTTTATACTCTCACAGGGTTTAGCGTTTACACTCTCACAAGATTTAGGGTTTACACTTTCACAGGGTTCAGGACTCCACAGGGTAGGTATGATATAAGACAGCTGTCAAGTCATGTAGGGTGAATGACATCTAACCGTAAATAAAGCTCTATGATGTGGTTGAACAAACTTCTATTTCTCAATGCTATGGGATTCTAGGGGTGGGTGGGTAGTATGTCTAAACCGTTAAAACTGCTCGATCCGATGTGCTGAACCCTGAACCCTGAACCCCTAAACCCCAAAACCTAAACCCCAAACCCGATAGTTCCCAACCCCTAAACTCCCAAACCCTACGGTTCCGGTTACCATAAGGGATCTAAGCCTCAAGCCCCAAACTGAACCCTAAACTAGGTTTAGGGTTTTAGGGTTTAGGGTTTTAGGGTTTATTGTCTAGGATTTAGGGTTTGGGTTTAGGGCCTTCAACCCTAAAAACTTCGGAGGTGTCCTCGAGGTCGCAGCTCGGCACCCCGGGGGCTTTGCTCCAGGCGGCGGAAGAGCTCCAAGAGCGAGGCGTCGATTCTTCAGGGTTTTGGGTTTAGGGTTTAAGGTTCAGGGTTTAGGAGCGATAGGATTTTAGGGTTTAGGGCTCAGGGTTTAGGAACTTTCGGGGTTAGGGTTAGGTTCAGGGTTGGGCTTTAGGGGTTGGTACAAGGTAACTTGTTTTTACAGTTTCAGGGTTGACATGTTGTTTTGATTTTGTCAATATCCTCACAGCTTGTCATTGGGGTTTAGGGCATGGGATTCTGAGGGCCTCCTGGCTTGGGGTGTGGATTGATGTGGCAGTTCCGTGTGGAGGGTGTGGAAGGGCTTTGAGGCGTAAGTTTGCGGCTTTGGGGTTCGGGCTTGTGTTTTTCTTCTCTGAGCTGCAGCGGTGTGTTTGCCCTAACCCTAAACCCTACACCCTAAATCTTTGAACCCTTAACCCGAAATCCCTAAACCCTAAACCCCTAAATCATTGAACCCCAAACCCTAAATCCTTGAACCCAAAACCCTAAATCCTTGAACCCAAAACCTTAAACTTTCAAAGGCAACCCCTTGCTGTTGTGAACTTCAGCCTGAGCCCTGCTACCCCCAGCTTAATATAGAGGCCTTAATAATTAGAACAGGGTTTTGGGGGTTCCTTATTTTGATTATGCGATAATGTACCCCCAAAACCCTATTTTAATGATTAAGGCCTCTACATTAAACAAAGGGAACCCCGAATGATAATGGAGGCGCCGAAATAATTCGCAAAAGTATCCCTGCTGTTGTTGTTGTGCCTTGTACTTTGCTCACAAGGCGCTTGTACATCAGGACAATTCGTATCTAAGCCCGTCTCGAATGTATTTGGGGGCGTGTTGAAAGTATCGCCCATCAGAAATGGTGAAAGCCTCGACAGCCCAGACCACCACAAGGATCTAACATAGATCCCCTAATGAGGGACCCTAACTACTAAAGGGTACTTTATAGGAACCCCCTTAGGGGATCTATTTGTTTGATCCTTCTGGGGGTCTGGGAGTAGCAGCAAAGGTATCGTTTCGCAGGGTCTTGGCTCCTGGAGGATTTAAAATTCAGACTTGGGGGGCGACCGTCGGAGTTTGGGGGGTAGGGTTTCATGTAGAGGCCTTACTAATTGGCATAGGGTTCCTTTAAAGGGTTCTATAAGGGCTACTATGAGGGTCTATGGTATAGAGGCCTTAGTGATTAGAATAGGATTTTGGGGTATATTATACTGTATTTATGATACGGAACTCTTAAGGCCCCTACATTTAGGGTTTTGGGGGGTCCATGGGTTTCAGGGCTTTTGGGGTTTCAGGGCTTTAGAGTTTTCAGGGTTTAGGGGTTTAGGACTTTGGGATTCCTGTTTCTACCGTTCTGGCTTTATTGCTGTGGGTTTAGGGTTTAGGGTTCGGTTTAGGGTTCAGGGTTTTTGTTTACCGTTCTGGCTTCATTGTTATGGGTTCCAGGTTTTAAGGTTGCTGCGCTTGGGGCTGAGATGGATCAATGATAAAACCAGCAATGGCAGCACAATGGCGGCGCAGACGATAATAGAGGGGCCTTAATAGTTAGAACAGGGCTTGGAGGTATATTATACTATAATTATAATAAGGAACCCCCCGAACCCTATTCCAATTATTAAGGCCCCTACATAGGGCGTGTGCAGCGTCCAGTTTGCTTCCCACATTGGCGCGAATCAGCGGACCAATGCCTGCAGATGTCGTGGCTACCCGCAGGCCCCATAGTAGTTCCTTTTTGGGATTCCCTAAAAGGATCCTAAACATAAGCCACAAAAAGGAACTACTATGGCCCTAAACCCTAAACCCTAAACCCCTAAACCCTAAACCCTAAAAATTCTCGGTGCAGCCTTGAGGCCACACCACCGCCAGAGATCTTAGAGCCACCTCGGAGCCCGGAGCAGAACCAGTCGTGTCAGAGCTTGGCAAGGGAGGTCGCAGAGAGCAGCGACTTGCAAGACCGGCTTGAGGATGCCAGGGCTCTAGGGTTTAGGGTTTAGGGTTAGGGTTTTAGGGTTTAGGGTTGACTTCCGGTTTACCGTGTAGTGGTTTGGTGATCTTTCTCACTGCCTTGATGTTTTTTTGGGGTGTCCTGGTGTTTCAGGTCATGGACCGTTTCGTTCGGGCCATTGGGGTTTCCAAGAACGGCAGTACTCAGTGAGAATCTAGACGAGGGGCATCCAGCATATGATTTAAGGTATATACATATGCACATATAATGTTCATTAGTTGTCTGTCTAAGTTTGGGACGAAAGTCTAGGACATTTTCAGGTGGGTAGTTACGGTTATAGGAGCCTTACAGAAGGTCTATATACCCTATGGAAGCCTTATAGAAGCCCTACATACCCTAAACTCCTAAACTCCCCACCTGTAGTTTCCTTTAAGAAAGGACCGCAGCAAAACCTAAACCCTAAACCCTAAACCCCCGGATGCTAGGGCTGGCCGTGCTGGACGCCTCACCTTTGAAAGCTACTTGTGTGGCCGCTTCCAAAGAGGCCGGGCCATGGTCGTGGGGTTTAGGGTTTTGGGTTTAGGGCTTAGGGCTTAGGGTTCAGGGCTTAGGGTTTAGGGCGTAGGGCTTAGGGTTCAGGGCTTAGGGTTTAGGGTTTAGGGTTTAGGGTGTAGGGTTTGGGGTTTAGGGTTTAGGGTTTAGGGTTTGGGGTTTAGGGTTTAGGGCTTAGGGTTCAGGGTGCAGGCTGTCAAGGGACTAAAGGAGGGACCCTCAAAGGTACCACTGGAGTTATATAGGGGCCTTATGAGACTCTATAATTAAGTATATAAGGGTTATATAGGGGCTTTATGAGACTATATAAGGGGTATGCAGGGTTATATGGGGGCTTTATGGGACTTACGGGGTATATAAGGGTTATATAGGGTATTTGGATTCGGGGTCCCTTCTAGGGGTCCCTCCGATTGTCCCTTAACTTAAAGCTGAATTATCGGGATTCCTTTGAGCGTGCTAAAGCGTCTCGACTTTTGGGGAGTTCACTCAAGGGTTTAAGATTTCGGAGTTTCTCAGTTCGGTTCGATTCAAGGTACAGTAGTAGCGCAGGAACATGCCATAAGAAGGATTGAATCATATCGAACCCTAATCGCAAAGTACCTAAACCCCGAACCCTAAACTCCCTCAGCGCTAAACCGTAAGCAGCGCACATGTTACAGTTTGGGATTTTGGGCTTGGGTGTTTTTTTGCAAACTGCCGTTCTAACTTATAACACTCTCACTGTCTCTTGTTTGTTGTTGCCATCTTTGTCGTGGTATTAAGTATGCGCCCTAAAAACCTACCTCTTTAAGGAACCATATATAGAAGCCATAATAAGGAACCCTAGAAGGGTAGGTCTTTTCGGCTACAGGTGGACTCAGAGCTTTCTGTATCTTCATGGTCATGGCTGCGGTTTTTGGCTCCGCGGAGTTTCGCCAAGCGCCCTATTCTAACTGTGAAGGCCCCTCTATTCTATTACTTCAACCTCAAACCCTGAACCCCTTAAACCCAAAACCCCTAAACCCTACTAAATCCTAAACCCGAAACCCGAATCCCCTAAACCCTAAACCCCTAAACCCCTAAACCCATCCTCTAGGAGCCAGATCGAAGCTGACGTCGTTCGACTTTCTTCCTAAGCCCAGCTCCGGCTCGAAGCCCAGATAATGTAGGGGCCTTGATAATTAGAGTAGGATTTATGGTTTTGGGTTTAGGGTAGTGTTCCTTTAAGGGTTCCGTTAAAGGGTTCCATAAGAGTTACTATAAGGGTTTTAAATAAGGGCCCGACCTTGAAGTTAGAATAGGGATATGGAGATTACTTCCTTTTATCACAATCAGGAGCCCCCCCAAACAAAACCCTAAACCCTAAACCCTAAACCCTAAACCCCTAAACCCTAAACCCTAAACCCTAAACCCTAAACCCTAAACCCTAAACTCTTAAGGCCCCTGTATTGTCTGACACACCCTAAATCTGAAGCCTCAAGCGGTTTAGGGTTTCGGGTTGAGGGTTTAGGCTCTAGGGGGTTTAGGATTCAAGGGTTTAGATTTAGGGTGGAAGGTTTAGGGGTTTTGGGGGTTTAGGGTTTAGGGTTTAGGGTTTAGGGTTTAGGGGTTCAGGGTTTAGGGCTCACACCCCGAACTCGCAACCTGAGGCCCGAATCCTTCGATAGAGCCCGCACAGGGGTTTCTGGTTTAGGGTTTAGGGTTTAGGGTTTAGGGTTTAGGGGCTTTAAGCAGGAAATTTCGAAAGCCTGCATCCCACCTCCGCGCCAGGCTCTTCGGCTACCTCCCAGGCTAGGTCCTACCGCTGTCTCGCTTTTTTTGGGACCATATGTGTATGTCTCTACCGGTAACCGTGAAAGCCCAAGCCCCAGACCCTAAACTCTCACACCCTAATCCGTACGCCGTACGTCCCAGGGCCATAACTTGTGACAGAGTGGCCTGAAGGAGATAATATGTAGCAGTCGCCGTTTAGGTCAGGTTGATTGCTACAGTTATAGCATTGCTTTTCAGACATTGCATACTTCTTGAACGAGGCTTCCACCCAGCCCAGTGTGGGGGAGTCGGGGTTGATACAGTGGATGATATAAATCCTTTGCGCTCACTTGACACTTGCTTGGAGGCTATTCGTGCTTCTACTTCTCATCCAGATGTGTCAAGGTCGGGGTTTAGGGTTTAGGGTTTTAGGGTTTAGGGTTTAGGGTTTAGGGAGACCGCCAATTCGGTGAGCAAGGGGCGATGCGTGCGACCCCGCCGAGTCGGAAGACTCGCACGCGCTGCATGTTGCTGCGGCCTCTTTCGCTGAGGAGCGCCTGAAGGAGAGTGCTGGGCAGGTGGCGGGAGTTGGCAGCGTGACGAACAAGGAGTGGAAGAAAGGGTACAAGCGGCGAATGCTGGACGGCCCACCGGCTTGTAAGGATTCCGCCGGGTTTGTATCATATGTGTAGACTACACTGCGAATTCTCACCGTGCCAGCCAGGGTGAACTGGCACGAGTTCTACGTCCAGGCCATCCGCGGGCTTCGCCTTCTCAGCCTTCGTCTTCGTCTTCGTCTAAACCCTAAACCCTAAACCCTCAACCCTAAACCCTAGACCGCCTTCGTCTTCGTCTTCGTCTTCGCCTGCAGCAGCCGCTTCGGCTTCGGCTTCATCGTCGTTTAGGGTTTAGGGTTTAGGGCCAGCCGACCCGCTTAGTACGGCTCAGGCCTTCGCCACTTGTCGGCCCGGCTCCTTTTAAGCTTTACTGCATTACCTTACGGACCCTAAACTATGGGAATTATGGTATATTCCTTATCATGGGTAATGCAGGATTTATATCTTCAACCATAGCAGCCCTAAGCCCTAAACCCTAAACCCTAAACCTTTACAGGGGTTTAGGAGAAGTTGATCAAGAGCCTGCGAGGTCTGATGAACCTTTACCCAGACCCCCAAAAGGAT